GACGGCGCCCCCGTCTGCCCGCAGCGCGCCGCAGCCCGCGCTGGCTGCCGCCGCTACTCCTGTCCGAACGCGGCCCGACAGATCCGCTCGGCCGGACTCCAACAACCGCCGCCAACAAACGCTGTCCACGTGTCTCGCCTCATGGTGATTTTCATTTCCGCGCCGCTCCGGCCGACGGCCGGGGCTGTGTAATCTTCCTTCGCGTAGACTCAATCGCCGTAGACACTGCAGACGATATTTACACGTTACTTTCGATCATGAGCACGGTACTATTACGAATTGATGAACACTCTTCTGTGTAGCACGCTGAAGAGCTGTTAACGATTTTTCCTCGAGTCTTGTGGTTCTTATACGAGAGTTTAACGCACGACTTATCTTGTATCGAGGAATTAATAATAGCTTCTGTGATCGTAAGAAGGCTTCAATTTATAAAAGATAAAATTTTGCGATTGATACTTTTTTATTACACATGTAGAGGTAATTAAAGAATAAGTGATAAATGTTGATATACTGTATTACATCGAAATTCTAATTTCAATAGAATTTCACGGAAGAACGCTTTCACTCCCCGAAGAAACTAACAGCACCTGTGCTCGGGGCAGGTTGTTGCGAAGAAAGCGCGCGAAACTTATCAACGACCCCCGCGAAGTGTCGTGCTGAGCCTAATTTCAGCGGAAAATGCTTCGGGCATACTCACGAATGGGGGAACCGCGGAGTGTGAATGTCGAACGTGCTGCACGCAGCCCTTCCACATACACCGTTATGATACACAACGTTGCCTTTTCGTATTCGCTGTGACTCAGGATATTACCTATCATAATGCTGAAATCAACGCGACCGACGGGGCATGACGATGACTGACAAGGGGTGTGCGAATGGAAAGAACTGTGCCAACAAAATCGTTTTGTCAAGTTCTCGCGATAAACCGACTAGATAGATAGATATGCGAGAAAAATTTCGAGCGAGTCTCAAACGGTTCGAAAGATTTCATTAGTGTTCGTTAAATCTTTAACGCATGATCAAAACAGAAAATATAACTTTGGTAAGCTTTAATTTCGACGTGGTAAATGCATGAAAGTAAGCATTCTATTCGCAAAGTTCTAAAAAATATTTTCAATTCTTGCAATACTGATTCCTTTCTGTACAGTGCGGAAAAACATACCTATCGCATCAATCGATATTCTTTATAATAATTGAAGTCAATAGATATAATAAAACACTAGAAATTCAAATAACAAATGTATGAACACGAAATTGAACTGCAATTATTATTCGCGTGCATCAAATCTCGAAATCACAATTTATTAAAGACACATTAAATTAGAAGCATTAAATTAAGGATGCATACGTAATACCTCGAAGCACACATACGCGTAAACTCGTGTGCCGCCTGAGGGTATACGATACTTAAGCATGTGGCGTCTAACTGTGTGTGCATGCTAATCTACCGTCGTTCAAAGGTACCCACCGATTAAATCTCACCTGGTTTAATATTATTATTTATCAAAGCGGCCGTGTGTATAGGAGAAAGGGAGAAAGATATGTGCTGAGAGAATGAAGAAATATTAAAATAAAGAAGAGTGAGAAGGAGGAAAACAATTATTTCAGGTATACGTACATATACATTCAGTAGTTCGATCGATTTTGCTTTTGCGCGCCACGATTATCGAACCGTAAAAGTCTCTCAAAAGAAAGAGAAGGGCAAGTATATTGAAGCAAGAACGAAGAAAAAATTATGAATTTGAACTGTTGCTATCAATGATAGTTTTATCGATCAATAAAATAACGATATATAAATTTTCCAACCGCTAGCACTCTCTAGCTAAAATTAAACATTGTCCGAATAAATTTTTGATTTACTTAATGTAGAAATGTCTCCAGTTTTTTAATAAATTTTCCTTTTCACATTAGTTTATTAATATCTACATTTTTATATCTATAAAAAATATTTCAAAGAACTAATTGTTCACTTTTTCTCTTATTCTACCAATTAAGTTGAAAATAATCTAAACGTTGCTACGTATAATCTAGTTAAAAGTATTAAAAAGTTTTTACAATTATATAATTGTATAATGATATCCAATGAGCACAATTGTCTGCAAAAAAATTAATTTTACCATTCATTCATTATGCGCACATCTTACTTCGACCATTAAATAACATTTATTCCTTTTAACACTAAACTACATAGATATTTATAAAATTGTTTTTGGATTTGCATGTTACGAAAAAAATGGCAGCTACTTATGGAAAGTCAATCCCTTGATCATACAGGATCATCTGCTTTTATGCCTGCTCTTATGCGTCGAGAACCTCCCTCTTCAAGGAACATTACGCAATTCAAATATTATTCAAAGGCTAAAAGCCATGAGGGATTCCCTACATGGGTGACGTAAGAAAAGGTGATGGCAAACACACGCAGGAGAATGCAAGATCCTTGTGTATTATGTTACAAGGAGCATAGATACGGGTGCACCGATGCTTTCCCTAATTCACAGAATTTTCTGGGGTTTGGACGATACGTGCATGTGACGAAATATAACGAAATAAACTCTAAAATCATTTTCGGTCATGGCTTCTAACAGAATTTTTTTTTTATTGACGCATAACGTTCGATATATCCAGGATACAGCTGTATTTGTATCTCTGGTAATGTCTGGATTATACGCATCAACGCCAGCTACCTAAGCTCCTAAATAAATATGTGCACTGTGTTTTGATAATTTAGTAGTCTGCAGTTTAAAATACGACTACATTCATATATATATGAAATACATAAATAAGACAGAGGAATCGATAAGATTATTAAAATAATTATGCAACATTTTGCTGCGATCAATTTCTTTCTTATACTGTTATATGTGCTAGTTCTCAAATTGTGCGTGACATTAAATAATTCTTCCCCCCTCTATTAAAAAATCTATAGACCGACCCGCACTATAACTGCACACGTCAGAGCCCTTCGTGTAATTACAGAGAATTCAGTAGTAACAATATAATCACGATAGAGGCAAAGGTGATTCAAAGTGGACCCACATAAGCTGTAGAAAGTAATTAAAGATGTCAATGCGACTCCCCTAATTCGACGGAATTAAGGATACCCTGCTCCTTTGCGCCAGCCCTTTCCTATTTCTCACTTGATATCATATTTATCAATGAAAGAAATATTTTGCAATATTCGGAATTGTACGCGCAATTGTCAATATTTCTATGCATACAATATATAACTGAATGTAAATTAATAAATGCCAATAGAATGGAAAAATGCTTAATACATGTTTGCAATATAATTTTTGTGCCGCAAAATGCATAGCGATTAGCATAATAGTCGATAATATCTTGCGGCAATACAGCTAATCTCTATTCATATTGTGTTCATATCAAAATAAAAAAAATGCAAAAGATTGATTTCTCATTCACTAAACGTCAGTCAACTCTATATTTATCGCGTATATTGACAATGAAATTTATTAGTATTTGGAAATTTGTTTTCTAACATTGCATTAATACAACAACTTCGTTGCTGCCGAAGAAGGTTCGTATAGAAAATCAACGGCATCGTAGCTGGTCCTACTGTTAAAGTGCTAAATTGATGAATGAGTCGCAGAAACGAGAAACATTTCATTGAATCTGGCACTGACTCGCCTAATAGAACTTGTCCAAGTTTATTATTCGGCTTGGAAAAGCGTAAGCTTAATGGTCGCAAGGCTAAATTCAGGACCTCCAGCATAAGTGACTGATCTTTTCGGTTATATTAGGAAATTCGCGAAAGTCATTTTACGAATATAAATATTTTGTGTCAGGTTACGTATGATACATACGCGTACACATTAATTCCCACAAATATATAAGATGTCGGAATATAACTTTTTTAGAGCAGATTAAATGAAAATGTGTTATAAAAATATTGAAGAGCGAAGCTGAAGACGTCGATGGGAAATGTACATAATAGGAAAGACGTGACTTTAAGGCGGTGGCTTGACAGTTTCGTCCACCCTCTGCCATTAAGTAAATTGACTGCTACATACCGTAGTCTAAATAACAATCTAATTTTCATAATGTATCCTCATCCTTCTGTCGAAGCGCGTCATTTTCGTTTTCAATATATTTTAATTGCATCATCTTTCAAACAAAAAATTTGTCTGCGTTACGACAGCAGTGCGATTTAATGTTATAAAATCGCGCTGTATAAAAACATCGATGAAACGGAAAAATCAAAAATTTTACGTAACAATGTACAACGACTCCGGATGTTTGTTTTACAGCTGATGCAATTTGATCCAGATTTAGGGCTCAACCCTACCATTCGTTTAGCTTTGCACAGGTCATCTCCCTAAAACTGTTCCCCGAGTAGTGACCAGCTGTTATGGCCAGCAAACGACTGTCACTTAAAGGATTTGATTTGAGCTTAATTCGACACATATTGCAGCCACGTCTGTTACGCATTTCATCATACTTAGGAGACTATATCCGAATTGAAAGCAAACTAATTATCTCCTTTCAATGAAGGCATTTGTTATCGTATTTAATCTCTATATTGTATCAATCAATTCCACTATTAAAATATCTTCTAAAAGAATATTCTATACATGTTTCATATTGTAATATAAAAATTGGATTGTTATTCAGACTATGATATGTGTATCACATTAATGTTTTTATATTAATTATCCAAGAGTTGCAAACTTATTTCCAGTATTTTTTCTAATAAAATTTCATTAATAACAATTTTTTACAGATGTATGAATAATTAAACATTCATAAAAATAAATTAAAATTTTGTTATTTATTAATGTTTTTGTTTGACGAAAAATTTTTATTTTCAATTACCTAATTTCTATTGAATAAAAGTTGATGAATTGATTATCAGCAAAGATTGATCAGTTAATCTAATAGCATCTGCATATATATACACACACTATACACACACACACATACAATTACTCTACGTTCGAAAAGAATGCCTCCCTATTACAACAAAAATAACAAATTTGTTTCAGCGACAAAAGCAAACCCTAATGCGGTCGAGTTCGGTGGCGGCACGGCCGCAGGGACAAGCTCGTCGGTGTATGGAAGCACCGCCAGTGGAACAGTGAGTTGCATCGCCGGTTCGTTAGCCGGTATCGCGGGAAGCTTCAACAATACCGGTCGCACGAACTTCACAAATAAGCAGCTAACCGAACTGGAAAAGGAGTTTCACTTCAACAAGTACCTGACGCGAGCGAGACGCATCGAGATCGCTTCATCGCTACACCTAAACGAGACGCAGGTGAAGATCTGGTTCCAGAACAGGCGAATGAAGCAGAAAAAGCGAATGAAAGAAGGCCTGATACCGTCAGATAGCACGAACGTGACGCCTCTGAGCGGTGCCAGAAGCAGCAGTAATTCGCCGACGGGCTCGTCCAGCCACGAAATCGGCGGTCTCGGTTTGTCCAGTTTCACCAGCGATAACAGTAGAGAATCACCACCGTCTACCAAGGATTGACGCGATTTTTGCTGCAGTGAACGACATTATAGTCTATGATTCGTCGACTAATAGGGCTCATTCGGAGACTAGAAGTTTAATAAGAATCATGACGATTTACTGCAGCCACAAATCACTTTCGAATTCATTATTTCAGGCTGCATTCTATATATAAACGTAATAACGTGGAATTAATACAAGTAATGTCATTCTGTATTCTTGAAAGTAGAGGTATGTGATATATGTATATACGGGATACGTCTGCTTTCCCGTTTTTAAATTATAGAATGTGACATTGGTTGCTCTAATTCCATCATATCGTACTGATGATCCTGACTCAGAAGTGACGTGTAGTTTCAAAAAATTTCAAGTTAATATTCCTTTCCAGGGTGTTCATGATTTTTTCTACACGGAGAAAATTTTATATCAACAATTACGACAGTAGCCGCGGATCATGAAGTCGCGGACCAAAAATTTTTACTATGTTTTACATGTGAAAAACATAGTAAAAATTTTTATAATTCCTTCATAGTCCGCGGCTACTACCGTACATAATAATTTTTTATATAAAATTTTCTCCGTGTACAATTAGTTTTTATACGTCGTTTGTGATAATTGTACTTTACTATTACCGTCACGGTACATGTTGTTAGATTAAAAAAATACGTCTTAGCAAAGTATAAATAATGCGCAGTTTCTAAATGCTAATTGAATATGGAACAATGACACCGCGCGTAATACGCTCAATTATAGTTCCGGTTCGTTCCGGCACAGTTCCAACGACGGAATTTTCTACAAACGAATTAATGCGAATCGCCGTTCGCAACCATCATTCATCATAGCGCCACGGTGAAAACCGGAAGAAGATAAGCCTTCTCCCTTTGCGCCGGACAACACAAACGCAATTAAGTTTACAATTATATTCACGGCGCGTGCGACGTGCGAAACAAAAAAAATTCTCGCGGAGAGGAGCTCTTTGTGTAACGGTGCTCTTCAAGATCGCGG